ATCTCTTTTTAAATTAATGATCAAATCTCCAACCTTCTTAAAGGAAAAAAATTTGATTTTTATTACAATACCAACTTATGATATTTAAATAAATAGAGTTCAAAAGTACTTGGATTGTACTATCCTTTGGACTATATGATTGTTTTTAATCCAACAAATTCTCCACTATCAAATCCACTTCTAAAATAAATAAAATTGGATTTTTCAGGCTTAATTAATAAAAATGCTGAAGACTCTAATCCAATAAAAATAATCCATACCAACACATAACAGCATAAAATACACTCTACTATACTAGACCACAGCCAAATAATTCATAACAAATCATAAAAAATTAATGATCGCTCAATGTCTATAAGAACATGTGACATCATCCTAAAAAACTACTAATTTTGGCATAACCAAAAACCAATTAGATAAGTGGTAATTAAAGATAGTAGCAAAACAACAAAAAATTAAAATGGATAAAGTTTTCAATAAAATTAAAATATTTCAATTTGCAAGTGGTTTGATATAAAAAATTATCTAAAATAGCTTTTCAATTCTTTAACAATTTGAATTATAACTGTTATTTACTAAATAAAAAATTTTGCCAAACCTTAAGTTATACCAATTTTACAATAAATAAATTAAATGAGTAAATACATAGAAATTTACACATTTTTTTATCATATAAATTGCGAGGTTATTGTAGTTAAACAAAAATAGCCTATATAATATGTTATGTTACTTGATTATGTAAACTTGCACTGCAAAAACGACAACCATTCTATGTGCTTGCGTCAATTATCAAATCCTACAAATCAAAAAGATCAAATGGATGTGCTTTGCCATGAACACAAGTCCACATGCCATGTTCAATTTGCAACACACAATTGATCACTTTCCAAAGCCGTTGAGAAGATTTACTATTTGGAGTCAAAGAAATCATTGGATGATAAAGAGTTGGCAATGACAGTGTTAGGAAAATGTTTGAGGTGTTAAGAGATAATGAGATAGTTCACATATATGTTTGTCATTGTCACCTTCCTAATTTTGGTGGTGTTAATGTTTGGTTAGTATGAAGTTTAGGAAAATGTTTAGCTAAAGGCGTTGGTGGGGTCCATAATGATGTTGGAATTGAAGAGTTAAATACTATTACTGTGGATAGTGGTAGGTTTAATCTAGCAAGTTTTCAATTTCATACTAACCAAACTGAGAAAGATCTTATGCCAGATGTCCCTAAATTGTTTGACAATGAAGATGAGGAGACTATTGAAGCTAGGAAAATTTTAGAAAATATCATAGCTTCTCAAGCTAAACCCAAAACTAACAATAAGCAATCACAAGCTAATGTGGAAGTGAGATCTTCAAGTATCGTTATTGTTGTGAGCTATTTATTCTCGTAATTTATTATTTATTTTCTTTACGATCTATCTGTCAAACTTAAAGATGTTTGTTTATACAAGACACATTGATACAGAGTAATCCAATCAAATGATAATGTAAGCTACATTGCAACAGGTGATAAAGATGACAACAGAGCTAAGTATGATAGAAAAAGATAGCCTTTACATCCTTTATTTAAAGAAAATGAAGATTGGCCTGGAATAAATCTTGGCATGACTTTTCTTAGTAAGGAACAACTTAGAAAAGTTGCTAATGAGTTGAGTTTCAAAGAAGGTAGACAAATCAAATGGGTGAAAAATTACAAGGTCAACTTAAGAACAATATACAAGGAGGCTGAGGGGAATGGGTGTAAATGGAAGATTTTGTTAGCAAAGGACAACCCAGTAGACTCTTGGACAATAAACACTTTCAAACAAACACATACATCAAATTGGATTGTTGGAAGTAAAAAGGTTTACTTTACACCTTGCAACTAAGAATTTGGTTGATACTAAAGGAGCAAGTTGTTTGTATCTTAGCATCTTTCAACCTATTAGGAATGAAAGCAACATTGAGCTAACTTCTGTGCAATGTAAAATGACCAAGCAAAAGTTGAAAAAGATTTTTGAAAGCACTTTAAAGTCTGAATATGGCATGTTATTTGACTATGCTAATGAATTGAGGCCAAAAGATCCAAAACATCCAAAAGCAAACATTATTCTCCATACTCATAAAGCCACAACAGATGCTAACCCTACTTTCATGAGAATGGATGTATATTTTAGTGCTTTGAAAAAGTGGTTTCTTACTGGTTGTAAAGGTATCGTTGGTGTTTATGGTGCCTTTCTTAAAGGTGCTCACAAAGGAGAATTGTTTACTGCAGTTGGAAGAGATACAAACAATCAAATGGACCTAATTGCATAGGCAATTGTGGAGGTTGAAAAGCTAGAAACATGGTTATAGTTTTTCAAAGAATTACAAAAAGGTTTGTTACTGGGAGATGGAACCAAATTCTACATTATGTCAAACCAACATAAGGTATCAATTTTTTTTTTCATTATGTATTTTTTTAATTTAAATAAGTTACTCATTGCTGTTAACTTATGCCAATTTAATAGAGACTTGTTCAAGTAGTTGAGGAGATTTTCCCTTATGCTGAGCACAGATTTTGTACTAGGCATAAAAACTACAATTTTAGGAAGAAAAACAAAGGCAAAGCGTTGCATATTGCTTCTTTGAAGTGTGTGAAAACAAATACCATTATTGAATTCAACGAAGTTTTGGATGAGTTAACCAAATTAAAAGCTTCAGCAAGAAATGACTTATTAAATTCATATCCAAAACACAAGTGCAAGGCCTTCTCCAAAATAGACATAAAGTGTAATATTGTTAACAATAACATGTGCGAAGTCTTCAATGGTTTACTAGTGGATACAAGACAAAAGGCCATAATTTCAATGAATCAAGATTTGAGGAGACTTTGTGAAAAAAGAACTATTGCTATAAGAGGATATGCTAAGTCCAATTTTATTATTTTTTTGGTCCTAAAATATAAGAAAATATTGTAGCTAGTGTACATGGAAGCAAGAGGTGTAGATTAACTTGGCAAGATGGAAATAACTATAAAGTCACAAGGGATGGAACAAATGGTTTTGTGGTTGACTTGGAAAATAGAAAATGTACAGGTAGGTTTTGGGATATCATAGGAATTCCACGCAAGCATGTTATTATAGTCATTAATGCCACCACGCAAAAGGTGGAAGATTATGTAGCAGATTGTTATAAAAAGGAGGCAATCTTAGCTTCTTATCAATTTGAAGTGGCTACTATTGAAGGCATGAGTCAATGGCAAAAAACTAGAATGCCCCCTATTCAACTACTAGTGACAAGAAAGATGCCAAGAAGACCAAAAAAAAAAAAAAAAGTATTATAGGAGTAAAAATTATAAAGAGAAATTAAACCCTAATATTGCTAGGGTCCACACTAGTGTGATTACTTTTTAATAAAGTGACAAATTAATTTCAACTTCAAATTTACATTATGCTCTTATTTCATTAGTCAAATATAAGCCATTATATTTAAAGAAGTAAAAATTTATGAATGCAAAGGAGTTTTGAGGTTTTAAGGAAAAGATATAAATATTTTTACTTCTTTTTAACATGCCAATTTTATGTTGTTTTGGGGTGTTTTGTAAATGGAATGGATAGGCACAAGTACTAACTAAGCATGTGTAAATGTAATGTTAGCAAGCCTAAGATGAGATTAACAATGACCAAAATAGTTGAAATAGGGGATCCAACAAGTTGCACAACCCACAACATGCACAAACATAACTACTATGCCTCTGGACTTTGTTGATGTCCTGTCGGTGAAGTCATTTGATATCGCTAGGAAAGAAGGTCACATTAGCAAAGCAATAAGATATCACTAAAAAAATGATGAGCATCTGATGAAGTAATGACATACTTCTAGAGAGAAGTGCACTAATTTTGTAGCATGAGACCGTTGGAAAAGAATGACATCTAAGCAAAGTGCATCACCAGTTATCAAATTCAAAATATACAAGTGTACAAAGATGAAGATGAAGAATACATCTCTTCATATATTTTGTCCTATGGATGTACAAATGTGCAACCAAAAAGATTTCATCTAGTAGGTTGGGATCCTTTGCCATAAGGTTATGTAAAGTTTAATGTAAATGAATCAACTCATGGTTCATCGAGACTATTAGTTGTAGGAGTTGTTAAGACTCTTTAGGTGATTGGATTTTCAGCTTTACATAACAATTGGAGAGGGGCACACCATTAGAGTTGAATTATTTGCTATTTGGAAAGGTAGGGACTTGCTTGGCAAAAGGCTTTTAGGTGTATAAGCAGATTCTTTGTTAGTTGTCTAAAGCTACAAAGCAATATCTAAAACTAATGCCTTGACAACTTCAATCCAAAGATGCAAATCCCTCATGCAAAGAGAATGGATATGTGAAGTGAAACATGAGCATCAAGGTAAAATTTATTGTGTTGACACCATGGTTTCACAATTCTACCATTTGGGGAAAGAGATGCATCTCCTTGAAGAACCTCCACCTTTGGTTTAGGCAAAACTATGTGAAGACATGATTGGAGTTTGTTAGCCTTGTGCACTAGATAGTTTTCAATGATCATTGCCCGTTGTACCAAGAAAAAGATAAAAGCACTTCTATTTTTCTTTATAAAGGAGTAACATTATAGTTCTCCATCCTAAAGCACTTAAATCTTCTAATCAAAGCACCACTATATGTTGCTCAATTGAGGGTTTGATAGTCTCTTTTTCTCTCTATATTTTTTTCCTTTTTATTTTGAATGGAAGGCCTTTGTTAAGGAATAAAAACTTTACGATCTCAAATGGGAAAAAGAAAAACTGTAAGGTCCAATTGTTACCTGACAAATAGTTTCGGCACAGAAAAGGCAATTGAACAACTTTGAGGGTAACATTTGACTATCAATTTTCTGGCAGTCATCTCCAATTGGCCAGTCACCACGTTAAACACAAATTAATCAGTGGACCCGGGAAGACTATATACACTCAAATGGGCTCCACATACTCCGTTTTTTTCCACACAGAGTTACTATAAAAAAATTGAAATATCAGCACTAGGATAGATCGCAGCCTTCATACACCATTCCAACGACCCCAAATAACACCTCCTTCTGCCACCGAAATGGCGCCCTTCCTCTCCCGTGCCAAACTCCGCCACCGCCTCCTCCTCTCTCTGCTCGCGCTCCTCACTCTTCTCTGCATCTCCCATGCAAGGCTGAATCTTGATCCTGCAGATTCCAGAGCCCTCCTCACCGTCCTCAAAGACTTGGGCGTCAACGGTCAACGTCAACCCTCAACCAATCTTTGTACCGTCGCCGGTGTATTCTGCGAGAGGAGGCTCTCCAACAACAATACCTATCTCCTTAAGGTCAGCAGGATCGTGTTCAACTCCCAAGCCCTCACCGGCTTCCTCTCCCAGGCTATCGGACGCCTCTCCGAGCTTGGAGAGCTCTCCCTCCCCAACAATCACCTCCTTGACAGACTCCCCCCTCAGATTGTTGACTGCAAGAAGCTCGAGATTCTCGACCTTCAAAACAACCAGTTTTCTGGTGAAATACCCTCTAATTTGTCTTCCTTGATTCGCCTTCGTGTTCTCGATATCTCCTCCAATAAGTTTTCTGGAAAATTGAGTTTCTTGCAGTATTTTCCCAATCTGGAAAGACTTTCCGTTGCCAACAATCTATTTTCCGGGAAAATTCCACCATCCGTTCGTTCGTTTCGCAACCTGCAGTTCTTGGATTTCTCAGGAAACGGTCTCCTGGAAGGTCCGGTACCTGTACTGGACAGAATCGAAGCATCGACTAGGTATCCAAAAAGATACATTTTCGAAGAGAATGGAAAGGTAACCGGACACTATAAAACTTCCAACTCTAATAATGCTCCTTCTCCTTCTCAAGCTCCCAGTCCGACACCAGCACCATCGGATAATCACAAACCTAAGCACAAGCAAAGAAAATTGATGGGTTGGCTTTTAGGATTCCTTGCCGGAGCAGTAGCCGGGAGCATATCTGGGTTCGTCTTCTCCATCATGTTTAAGTTAATGATAGCGGCAATCAAAGGTGGAAGACGAGATTCTGGCACCGCAATCTACAGTCCATTGATCAAGAAAGCAGAGGATTTAGCTTTCTTGGAGACAGAAGAGGGATTGAGTTCGCTGGAGATCATAGGAAAAGGAGGGTGTGGAGAAGTCTACAAGGCTGAATTGCCAGGGAGTAATGGAAAGATGATTGCCATAAAGAAGATTATTCAGCCCTCAAAGGAAGCTACTGAGTTGACTGAAGAAGATAGCAAGCTTCTGAACAAGAAGATGCGACAAATCCGATCAGAGATTGCCACAGTTGGCCAAATTCGGCACAGAAATCTTCTTCCTCTTTTGGCTCATGTTCCCCGGCCGGATTGCCATTACCTTGTATACGAGTTCATGAAGAATGGAAGTTTGCAAGATGCGTTGATTCAGGTTTCGGAGGGGAGACGGGAGCTGGATTGGCCGGCTCGACACAAGATTGCTCTGGGTGTGGCAGCTGGGCTCGAGTATCTCCACACGCTCAACAGTCCTCGAATCATTCATAGAGATTTGAAGCCGGCAAACGTTCTCCTTGATGATGACATGGAAGCTAGAATTGCAGATTTTGGGCTTGCAAAGGCTATGCCTGATGCTCAGACTCATATCACAACTTCCAATCTGGCAGGAACTGTGGGATATATAGCTCCGGAGTATCACCAGACGCTGAAGTTCACAGACAAGTGTGACATCTACAGTTTTGGTGTTCTCCTAGCAGTTTTGGTGATGGGGAAGCTCCCATCTGATGAATTTTTTCAGCATACAGATGAGATGAGCATGGTTAAGTGGATGAGAAACGTTATTATTTCCGAGAATCCCACCCAAGCAATTGATCCAAAACTAATCGGAAGTGGGTATGACGAGCAAATGCCTTTGGTTCTGAAAATTGCCTGCTTCTGCACTGTGGACAATCCAAAGGAGAGACCTGGCAGTAAGGATGTTAGGTGTATGCTGTCTCAGATCAAGCACTAAGTATGCAAGGAGATGTATCAGTACTATTCAAGAATAATTATGTCTAAGCAAATTAAAGAATGTGTGTGATGTAGGTTTATTTTGGTGTAACCAGTTCCAGTCTGTAAGATGTATAATTTACAGCAATAATTAATGCTTTCAAGAATCTTGATTTCAGGTTTCACTTGAATGTATCAGAAATTGGTGAATTAAAGATAAGTTTAACAGATCTTTTGAATCTATTGCAAGGCTATCTTTCACTTTCTTGTTGGTGTGCTGGTGGAGTTGGGG